ATCGTAAAATAAATATGTACATTTTAATCACTCCGCTCAGAATCTTAAATCGACTCAAATATCAAGTTTTTTTAAGTTAAATCTTTATTTAAGACAATTGAAATGACAAGTAAGTAATTTACAATTGATTAAAATGAATTTTAATTATTTAACTCAAACATATACAATGACACAGTGTGATTAATTAACATAAACACAATCATTTTATACCGATTTTATACAGAACTGGAATTTAAAAATTATTTATCTGTGAATTAAATTGTACATACAAATGGATTGAAAATGAATTATTATAGTAATATAGGCACTAGTCAGTATTGTTGGCGTACCACTGTTTATTCTAGGATAATAAGTAAAGAGGCGTAAAACAATAAAAGCTTCAATTATAATAATTCATATTTTGTTGAACCGCAAGATATATCTGTCTAATGTATAATGTACTAATGACAGTTTTTGCAAAAAAAATATAAAAGACTTTCGGGGGGCTGGTGGTCCCTAAAATGTTTTTGTCTGAAAAATGAAAAATGTTAACACCGCCACTGAGACGTCCTCTTAAAATGAACGTTTTGGCGTCGGCCGTCAGGTCATATTAAACGCCCATTATCGTAGATACAATAATAGTATTTATTTATTTATTTGTAGGTATCGTGAATGTCAATGGATATTATACTACGTTACATTTTTTTTCAATTATATAATACACTTCCAAAAAGTTTTAATGTAGTTTTTTAAAAATATTTATTACCAATTTCGTATGTTTATAAATTTATAGGTAATATCAATATAAAAACTCAACTGAAATAGATAATTACAAAAAATCGTTATTTAAAAATAATTAGGTATCTGAATCAACGGTGGGTTTTATGAGAGATTTCATAAGACGTATCCCTTTTCAGATTCCAATATAACCTATTTTATAAATGATTGAATTTCTGAAAACTTTTTTTAAAATCTTTTATTCTATTTTTAATAATTTTAGATAAGTATATAATAGAAWAAGTTACAAGTGTTACCCTTCAGTAGTACATTATATATATACAAACACACACACACAGTGCCAGCCCAAGATACGGGCGAACCRGGCGCTTTTAATATACGAATATTTTATAAATTTTARCGTAATATTTATTCAAATTGACAATAATATAGCTAAATGACTAAATTATCTATGACAGAATATTCTGTTATATATTTTTTTATATAGATTTTACTCCACTTTCCAGTTTTTATTATTATATTACAAATAATTTAAAAATAATGTACAATGATATATAATCATTAACTCGGGAAAACCAACAAAGTACCTATGTGTTACAGCTGATACGTCTATAAATTGTATCCAAATAAGTTTTGCAATCCTTTACCTGTCCATAAATGTAAGAATTTTAAACAAATTTGTAGGTAAGTATAAAAAGTATTAAATGTAGGTATTATGGAGCATTTGATT